GGTGAATGCTCCAACACTGGAAGTTTTTAAGAAGAGACTGGACAGCCATTTGTCTGAAAGGGTATAGGGTTTCCTGCCTGAGCAGGGGATTGGACTAGATGACCTCCACGGTCCCTTCCAACTATTATTGTTATTATTATTAACAACCTGCCTCCAGAAGTGGTGAATGCTCCAACACTGGAAGTTTTTAAGAAGAAACTGGACAGCCATTTGTCTGAAATGGTATAGGGCTTCCTTCCTGAGCAGGGGGTTGGACTAGATGACCTTCAAGGTCCCTTTCATCTTTATTATTATTATTATTATTATTATTATTATTATTATTATTATTATTATTATCATCATCATCATCATCATCATCATCATCATCATCATCATCATCATCATCATCATCATCATCATCATTATTAAAGGCCTGAGAGTGAGTGAGTGGGGGGAAACCAAATTCCCTTAACAACCGTGTTACTCATTTAACAACTGCAGTGATTCAGTTAGCAAATGCGGCAAAGGAAGTTGTAAAACGGGGCAAAACTCCACAAACCTCTCACTTAGCAACACATACATTTGGGGCTCTGTTGTGGGTGGTAAGTTGAGGACTTACCAGCAAGATTAGCAAAAATGTTTAAAAATACGTCAGATAGATGTTGGAAATGTAAACACAATTCAGGCACGTATTATCACGTTTGGTGGACATGTGACAAAGCGAAGAGCTATTGGAAAAAGAATACCTGCTTGGTTGGAAAAGATGTTGGGAGAACATGTAGACTTTAAACCTGAACTTTTCCTACTAGGTGTAAGGCCAGAAAAGATTAACAAACAAAGCCTACATTTGACCCTACACGTCACAACAGCTGCAAGAATAATGTTTGCGCAATATTGGAAAAAGGAAAGAACACCACCAGAGGGAGAAATAATTAAAAAAAAAATTGGAATGCGCAGAGATGGACAGATTGAATATGAGATTGAAAGAAAAAGGAAGAAACAGAATATTACCAAATCTGGGACTTATTCTATCAATGGCTAGAAGGAAAAAAAATGAAGGATTAGGAATGAAATATGTATTAATGCTTTCAAACTCAGACAGCACGTTGGTTGAAAAAATTATTATATGTATGTAAGAAAAAAAATCAATAAAATCTTACCCCCACCCCAAAAAAAAGTTGAGGACTCCCTGTGTATTCATTTTAACAGCTGCAGTGGAGCTTAGCCAGATGTTAGGCGCGAACCACCACAGCCATATATAGAGGAAGAGTTCAGTTACCTATTTTATTACTCCTAATATTTGCACAGCAACCTTCCCAAGTGGTTTATTTATATTATCTAGATAAGGTGCAGCAGCATTCAAGACTTTGCCCTCTTGTGCCTACATAAGAATTCCAGGCTAATTCCCTGCTTGACCCCTGCCCTTGTCTCGGCCAGGGGAGCGTTAATTCCCCCCCCCTCCCAAATTTCAAAATCTTTTAAAAATTGTTCTCCATAATTTGATATACAGCTGATCCCCGGACTTAACAACTGTTCGTTTAGTGACGGTTCCAAGTTACAACTGCACACAAAAATGTGACTTACGGCCAGTTTCTGCAGACAATCTTTGCAGCATTATATGATGTAAGATCTTGGGATGAATTGCGATAAAGGAAATTGGGGTTATTTAAAACTTGGAAACTATACACACTAAACGTTCAATTTAAATATTAATGGGAAACTAAAAATGGGGAAAAACTAACCAGGGCTTTGATTGTCTAAAAAGATTGAATGTTAAAATGACTAAGATATGTATAAACTAAAAATTATTGAGAAATGTAAGAAAGTTATTTGTATTAAATTGATATAATAAGCATTGTACTAATTTGATTGTGAGGCAGTACATACCAAGGGGAAAAGAGAGGAAACATTTAATGTAATAGTTTGTGATCTGCACTAAAGAAATTTCTATGTTATTGAAGTATGAACCAACCCAGACGCCACGTTGCTTTTCAAATATTTAAATGTAAAACTGGAAAATCAAATAAAAAATAAAAAATAAAAATTGGAGGCTCGGCAACCGGCTCGTATTTATGACGGTCGCTGTATCCCAAGGTCATGTGATCCCCTTTTGCGATCTTCCCACAATGGGGGAAGCCACATTCATTTAATAACCATCTTTACTAACAAAACAATTGTAGTAATTCACTTAACAACTGTGGCAAGGTCGTAAAACGGGGCAAAACTCACCTAACAAACGTCTCACTTAGCAACGGACGCTTTGGGCTTCATTGTGGTCGTACATCCGAGGACTACCGGTAATTATTTTGAAATTGTTTTGTCAGTTCTGTCGAATACTGTACGGGAAGTCCTTGGACTTACGACAATGGAGCCCAAAATTTCCGTTGCTAAGGGAGACGTTTGTTGAGTGAGTTTTGCTCCATTTTAACGACTTTCCTTGCCACCGTCGTTAAGTGGATCATTGAAGTTGTTCAGTTAGCAGCACCGTTGTTAAGCGAGTCCGGCTTCCGCCATGGACTCGGCTTGTAAGTTTGCAAAAGGGGATCACGTGACTGGGACACTGCGACCGTCGTAAATGTGAGTCAGATGTCAAGCACCCAAATTTTGATGGCCCTGAACCCTGGGGATACTACAACGGTCGTAAGTGTGGGAAAACAATCACCAGTCCCTTTTTCCAGCACCGTCGTAACTTTGAACGGTCACTAAACAAATCATTATAAGTCGAGGACAACCTGTATAAAACCCCAAATATTTCCTTTGGGCTTTTGCTCTCTGACAGCTGGCTCTTTTTTTGCACAAAGCTTTGTTGTTGTTGTTGTTGTTGTTGTTGTCCTGATGAGGGTCTCATTATTATCTTTGTTTTCCTGGTAGATTTGATGAACCAATTCCGAGATGTTGCCAAACGCGACACTTGTCGGATCACAATCTCTCCCTTTCCATCTCTTTGGACCACTGAACCCATCATCCACCCCAATCTGTCTCCCCCCCCCCTTCTCCCAGTCTCTTCCTGCCAGCCAGAGGGCAGGGATGATGGTCTGATGGTTATTGATTTCTGGATGCTTCTCTAGAGGGGGCTTTTGAACCGAACAGTGGGAGGGGGGGAAGTGCTTTAAGGCAACAAACAAACAAATGTATGTTATGTATGTCACGGTGGGAAACTGGCTAGACCAGGGGTAGGCAACCTTGGCTCTTTTATGACTCGTGAACTTCAACTCCCAGAATTCCTGAGCCAGCCACGCTGAGGGGAAAGGGAGAGGTTTCCAAGCTGAGCCATGTTGGCTCAGGAATTCTGGGAGTTGAAGTCCACGAGTCATGAAGGGGCCATAGTTCCCCCATGCTGGCTCAGGAATTCTGGGAGTTGAAGTCCACGAGTCATAAAAGAGCCAAGGTTGCCTACCCCTGGGCTAGATTGTGCCACAAAGGGCCCAAAATGCAGCCACATCTGGGCAGGTTGTTTTTTTTTTGCAACATCAGAACTTCAAAATTGGGTTATAAGTAGCTTTTTTGGTGGGGGGGGTCTGTTGATGCTACGTGACTGGTCGTAAGTCAAGGAGTAAGTGTAGAGCAACCTGTCTCGTATCGTACTACCTACTGCCAGACAATCATCCATCCAGTTCCCTCCCTCTTTCCATCTCCTTCCTCCCCCTCCCTACCTCCTCCTTCCCATCCTCCTCCTTCCCTTCCTCCCTTCCTTCTTCCTATACTTCCTTCTTCCCTCCCTCCTTCCCTTCTTCCCATACTTCCTCCCTCCCTGTCCCTCCCTTCCCATATTTCCTTCTTTCCTCCCTCCTTCCTATCCATCCCCCTCTCTCCCTTCCTCCCTCCCTCTTCCCATCTCTTTCTTCCCCATCCCTACCTCCTTCTTCCCATCCACTTTCTTCCCTTCCTTCCTTCCTTCCTTCCTTCCTCTCTCTCTCCCTTCCTCCCTTCCATCTCCTTCCTTCCCCCTCCCTCCCTCTTCCCATCTCTTTCTTCCCCATCCCTACCTCCTCCTTCCCATCCACTTTCCTTCCTTCCTTCCTTCCTTCCTTCCTTCCTTCCTTCCTTCCTTCCTTCCTTCCTTCCTTCCTTCCTTCCTTCCTCTCTCTCTCCCTTCCTCCCTTCCATCTCCTTCCTTCCCCTTCCCTCCCTCCCATTTTCTTCCTTCCCCATCCCTCCTTCACATCCTCCTTTTTCCCTTCCTCCCTCCCTCTTGCCCTTCCCTCCCTCTATCCCTCCTACTTTCCATCTCCCTCCCTCCCTCAGGACAGAGGTGGATGGCTTAGGAACCCTTAACGTACTTACCTGGGTATTCTTCTCTGTTGTATCCACGGCAGGCAGGCTGGCTGGATGAGGAGTTTGGCGTCCCTCACTGAGATCATCCGTCTTCTTTGAGCCTGGGCCTCTCCCGGACCTCTTTCCCACCATGTTCCACTTAATCAAGAAGGACCGAGATGGGTCCCGGAGGGAGAAGAAGGAGAAGAAGGAGAAGAAGGAACGCATGTCGGCCGCCGAGCTGAAGAGCCTGGAGGAGATGAGCCTACGACGAGGCTTCTTCAACCTCAACCGGGCTTCCAAGCGGGACGCCAAGAACCGCCTGGAGATCTCCAATCCCATCCCCATCAAGGTGGCCAGCGGCTCGGACCTCCATCTCACCGACATCGACTCCGACAGCAACCGGGGCAGCGTGATCTTGGACTCAGGCCACCTCAGCACGGCCAGCTCCAGCGACGACCTCAAAGTGGACGACGGCACCTTCAAGGGCTCGGTTCTGCAGCGGGCCGCCAAGTTCGGCTCGTTGGCCAAGCAGAACTCGCAGATGATCGTCAAGAGGTTCTCCTTCTCCCAGAGGAGCCGCGACGAGAGCGCCTCGGAGACCTCCACGCCCTCCGAGCATTCGGCAGCCCCTTCCCCGCAGGTGGAGATGCGGACCCTGGAGACGCAGCTGACGAAACACGGCGGTGAGACTCCCCCCTGCGCCCCGTTGGTATCCGCCTCGCGCACCCGGCTGCCCGAACTGGTGAGCAAGCGCTTCCCCGCAGAGTTGAAGCTCCCTGCGGTGGTGCCTCCTCAACCCCCCGTGCCACGCCAGCTGGAGCTGCAACGCCGCAACACGGGCGACTTCGGCTTCTCGTTGCGTCGTACCACCATGCTGGACAGGGCGGCCGACGGGCAGGTGTACCGGCGAGTGGTGCATTTTGCCGAGCCGGGCGCCGGGACCAAAGATCTGGCCTTGGGCCTGGTGCCGGGCGACCGACTGGTGGAGATCAACGGGCACAACGTGGAAAATAAATCCCGGGACGAGATTGTGGAGATGATCCGGCAGTCGGGCGAGACGGTGCGCCTGAAGGTGCAGCCGATTTTGGAACTGAGCGAGCTGAGCCGCTGTTGGTTGAGGCATGGCGAGCGGCCCCAAGGAGCAGCCTTGGAGGTGAGTTGCCGGCTTGCGCGGGGCAGGGTGAGGGGGTTGACGGGGGTCTCCTCCATCCTTGTGGTTTTTGGCCGAGTCTTGATTCCTTGGCTGCCTTGGTGGGACTTCCAAATGCCCGCTCTCTGGTGTTGTGTGGCCATCGCGATCAGCTCGCCCGTCTATTGTTGGGTTATGAGAAATTTGGAACCGAGAACCGTTTCCTTCTTATTTTGCAAATGATGCGGGACGCTTAAAAGGTCCGGTTGTTGTCCAAATGTTTGCAAGAAAGTTCCGGAAATTCTGCGTTGCGGCGGTTTTCAGGATGCCAGTTTTTTGGGGGTGATGAGTTTTCAAAGATCGGGGATTTTGAGGGGTGCATTTCCCCAAAATATTCCTCTATATCAGGGGTGGGGAACCTTGGCTCTTTTATGACTCGTGGACTTCAACTCCCAGAATTCCATGCTGGCTCAGGAATTCTGGGAGTTGAAGTCCACAAGTCATAAAAGAGCCAAGGTTCCCCATTCCAGCTCTATATAAACCAGGGGTGTCTAACTTTGGCAATTTTAAAACTTGTAGGCTTCAGCTATGCTGGCTGGGGAATTCTGGGAGTTGAAGTTCAAAATGCTTAAAGTTGAATTCTGGGAATTGAAGTCCAAAAATCTTAAAAGTTGAATTCTCGGAATTGAAGGCCGGAAGTCTTAAAGTTGCATGTCTGGCTGGGGAATTCTGGGAATTGAAGTCCAGAATTCTTAAAGTTGAATTCTGGGAATTGAAGTCCGGAAGTCTTAAAGTTGCATGGCTAGCTGGGGAATTCTGGGAATTGAAGCCCAGAAGTCTCAAAGTTGAATTCTGGGAATCAAAGTCCAGAAGTCTTAAAGTTGAATTCTTTGAATTGAAGTCCAGAAGTCTTAAAATTGCATGGCTGGCTGGGGAATTCTGGGAATTGAAGTCCAGAAGTCTTAAAGTTGAATTCTGGGAATTGAAGGCCAGAAATCTTAAAGTTGCATGGCTGGCTGGGGAATTCTGGGAATTGAAGTCCACAGGCCTTAAAAGTTACCAAGGTTGGACACCCCTGGTAAGAGACCAAGAGTGGCTGAGAATTGAAGAATGCTAGCGAATATTTCTAGTTAACGGTGAGCTCTGTAGGGCTAACAAATAAGGAATATTTCTTTCTGCTCTGTGCTTGGATGAGAATTTAGATTTGATAGGTCAGTCCTTCTGAGATCAACCCCAATTTTCTAAACGCACCCAGTTTTTTGTGGCTTACCCGGAAGCTGTGAAAAAAATTGTTTCTGCCTACACTCTCTTCATTCACTGTAACGGGGACGGTCAGTATAAACAGCATGGACATTGCGTGGTCAATATGTCCACCCTCCCCCCATAATCCTTTGCACCCTATTTCTCACAAGCAAGCTAGTTCAGGCCATCGAGTGACCCCGTGGCTGCTGAATCTTAAATTGGATTTAGGAGTCTTGTGTGTGTTGGTGTGTGCATTACACATGCATATTTTTAGAAAGGCTGGTGATTCAAAATATAATATTTTTTTCCCTCCTTCCCGAAAAGCTATTTTGAGGAAACACTACCCGAGTCCCTCCGGGCGAAATTCCGTTCGAAATAAGAATTTGTCAGGGCTGACATTCTGAGATTTAAGTGCGATACTAATTGCGGCGGAATAGGATGGTATGTGATTATAAGTATATTTTTTTCCCCTACAGCCTGTACATACAAGTTGTTAAGTGAGTTTTGCCTCTTGGAAGTGCCTGGCTAAAATTCCAGCTTACTTCTGTTGCAAAAGATTTTCAAAGAAAGACTTTTACAAGCCAGTGAAGGTCAGCTGGTGACAATTCCTTGACTTACGACTGTAACTGTGCCCAAAATTTCTGTCGCTAAGCGAGGCCGTTGCTGTATGTTTGGAGGAGAATTTCTCCCGTCACTTTTTTTTCTGCAGAAGGAAAAAAAAGATGGAAATAATAATAATAATAATAATAATAATAATAATAATAATAATAATAATAATAATAATAATAATAATAATAATAATAAATACAGAGACCTACAAATAGAAATAGAAAGACTGTGGCAAAGGCACGCAAGGGTGGTACCAATAGTCATAGGCGCCTTGGGTGCAATCCCAAAACAACTGGAGCACCACTTGGACACCATCATCGGCATTGACAAATTCGCCATGAGTCAATTGCAAAAGGCGGCCTTACTAGGAACCGCTTCCATCCTGCGACGAGATCTGTAACACCATCAAACCTCCACATCTGCCTATCCCAGGTCTTTGGGAAGGACTCGATAGGTAGACAAAAATGCCAAATCCAGTCTGAACATCTGGCTCACTGCGCGATGATCCATAATAATAATAATAATAATAATAATAATAATAATAATAATAATAATAATAATAATAATAATAATAATAATAATAATAATAATAATAATAATGATATCAGGGATTTTAAATGGAAGGCACCGTCTGGACTTCCCCCCCCCCCTGTTAGAATTGTGCAAATGAGGGTGGATGATTGGATAAAGAAAAGCCTAACCTGGAAGCTGTTTTTGATTTGTGGTTAGTGTCCATCCTGGCACAAGAGGATTCTGGGAGTTGAAGTCCACGCCTCTTAAAAGTTGCCCCGGTTGGGAAACTGCATTAAGCTGTAATGTTTTGCAAGAATGTGCTCTGCCTAATACAGGACCCTTCCCCTATTCAATCAGGCAGGATTACCCCTCTTCGAGTTTCCAAAACACAAAAGTTGTGGCTGCTTATAAGAGTCAGCTCATTAAAGCGAGTGCAACTTTAAAGCAACTGCATTCAATCTTCAGATTTGTGTGGGATCCTGAGAAAAACAGAGCAGGTTCACTTTAATGAACAGCAGAGACAGGCAGGGCTTGTTCTTAGGTAAGGTTTAATTAATATATTTTTTCTGCCTCGTATCCGAAATGTGTCTGGCTCAATCAGATGTTAGTTTTAAACAGCTTTTATGGAGTTAAAAACAACAACAACTATAAGCCGTTTTTGTTTTGCGGTCCCTCCTTTTCAGAACGCGACGTTCTGTTTTACTTTTTTTAAAAATAATAATAAATGCAATTGTTTAAATATTTAGTTTAAATGATTTTAAATTTTATGGAGGAAATGTGCAAAGCGCTACAACAGCGGAATGCACTGATTGTTGTACAGATCTCCCCTGCGTAACTGGTGGAATTAATCCGATCTTATTTATTTATCAGACTTTTATTCCGTCTCTCTTGTATCGATAAATACTCTCCTCTAAGGTAGTGGTCCCCAATCTTCCCGGCTTGGTGGACCCCCAGAGGGGTTAGAGGGGAGGATGGTTTTGTGTGCGTGGCAGGCGTGCGCACACAGCTCCATTTGCACCAACGCACCCCCTTGCTGGCGCTTGCACAAATGGAGCTGTGCAGACGTGCTTTTGCCCGCTCCTTCCGTGGCTTGAATCCAAAGGGTCCGTGGCCCCCGGGGGTTGGGGACCCCTACTCTAAGGGGCTGTGGGCATTTTAGTGAGATTTAAGTAAATTGGAGAGCAGGGAAATGAGACAGGAGGAAGAATGGATGAATGTGTGTGGGTTTATTTTTCCCCCCCCATGGAAGGGAAGCACACGGCGTTGAATTCTCTTGTGACTCAAGAAAGAATCCAGGTTAAAAATCACGTGCGAATGAAACGGTCCAGAGATGGGGTAGAGCTGCTTTGAGGAAGCGTGGCGGAGCGATGAGGCATCGATGGAAACTAGCAGACACCAAGGAGACACTGCGCCAGCCTTTCTACGTCTTGCTTTCCGAGCTGGGTGGTTTTCTTGCAGACAGACGTTTCATGACCCAACTAGGGAACATCATCAGCACGAGAAGAGAGTGGGGGTTGAGGAGGAGGAGGAGGAGGAGGAGGAGGAGGAAAAAGAGGAGGGGGGAGACTCGGGGGTCCCTGGTGCCCTCTGAGCTTGGTGGTTTTCTTGCAGACGTTTCGTGACCCAACTAGGTAACATCATCAGGGCTAGGAGTAGGAGGAAGAGGAAGAGGAGGAGGAAGAAAAGGAATGTGGGGTCCTTAACCCTAACCCTAATGTTTTCCTTTGAAGATGTTTCGCTTCTCCTCCCAGGAGCTTCTTCGGCTCTGACTGGTGGGAAATGAAAGGATTTATCCTCCTTGCAGACAGCTGGTCATTTGCCAGCTGGCTTAATTTGTAATAATGATGATGATGATGATGATGATGATGATGATGATGATGATGATGATGATGATGATAATAATGATAATAGTAGTAGTAATAATAATAATAATAATAAAGTTGGAAGGGACCTTGGAGGTCATCTAGTCCAACCCCCTGCTCAGGCAGGAAACCCTACCACCATTTCAGACAGGTGGCTGTCCAGTCTCTTCTTAAAAACCTCCAGTGTTGGAGCATTCACCGCTTCTGGAGGCAGGTTGTTAATAATAATAATAATGATGATGATGATGATGATGATGATGATGATGATGATGATGTTGGAAGGGACTGTGGAGGTCATCTAGTCCAACCCCCCGCCCCCCTGCTCAGGCAAGAAATCCTACCCCATTTCGGACAAATGGCTGTCCAGTCTCTTCTTAAAAACTTCCAGTGTTGGCGCATTTACAGCTTCTGGAGGCAAGGAGTTCCACTAGTTAATTGTTCTCAGTGTTAGGAAGTTTCTCCTTAGTTCTAGGTTGATTCCTTGATTAGATGCCATCCATTTTCCTTCCTTCCTTCCTTCCTTCCTTTCTTCCTTCCTTCCTTCCTTCCTTCCTTCCTTCCTTCCTTCCTCCCTCCCTCCCTCCCTCCCTCCCTCCCTTCCTTCTTTCCTTCTCTCTTAGTTCCAGGTTGCTTCTCTCCTTGATGAGTTTCCATCCCTTATGTCCTTCAAGAGTGAACCTTTGGGGCTTTGTTTGCTGGAGGCTTCTGCTTAAGAGTCCTCTTTTTATTTATTTTTGTCATATTTATGTAGTGCGTATCGGAGACGGCGACCCTTGGAGAGCTGAAGGCAACGATATT